GGATTTTTGTCACCAGACTTCTCATTGTGAATAACAATGTCGTTGTCGTTTTCTAAAAAAAAACCCCCCGATAATCGTTATCGTTTAAATAAAATTGACATATATTTGCTTATCACGCAAAATTGCAACTCGCGAACTTACGACATCTCGAAGATACACTGCAACTAGTCTGCGGCGATTGATCGGCATAATAAACCGGAACGCAATTATTAACAATGTCGCTTGCATGACGGAAATCGGGACTGCAATATGGATGTTTAGGCTTCATGCAGAAAGGTTCGACGTTTTCCCCTAAAATCGTATAATTTTTTATGGATGTAAGCATAAATTATATAGTTTTAAATTAAAAATTTATATCACAGAATTGTTACTGTTCACACATTACTGAAATATAGATAAATACGAATTTAGTCTTAATTATTGTTGTGACAAATACTATATATATGTATATATATATAGGAATGTATATTTATGATATACAACAAGTGTTGAATTATTTAATTTACTGGCTTATTTGTCGACCAGCAAAAGCCAGTGAATAATTATTCATCAATATATTGCATCAATGTAAGTTTCCATAATACATCTGTTTCATTGAAAACTGACAATTCGTTTATATTTGTCATAAGAATTTCGTACACCGCATATAAAAAAATAAATGTTGACAATAACATTGAAATCACTCATTAACATGTACCTATTTTATATACATGTTGTACCAAAGTATCTAGCACTGAAAAATTACATAAAAGTACCTAGGATTATCTTTACCTTCATAGCCCGGCTGGCATACACAGTTTAAATCCGGGTCACTCTCAACTTCGAAGTATTCTCCATCTCTATATTCCTTTCCGTTTACATTACAGATAGCTCTGTCTTCGGGATTTTCAGCTACAAGACGTAAATGACTTCATTTAAATGTTATATATAGACTTTTTTTGTCGGCAAGTGGATTGCTATATTGTTGAATATGAAATTTAACCTTTAGAGGACGGGCAGGTTTTTTCATGATTTTTTATGATTTTTATTTAAAAGTTCCATATATGTGTTATATTACGAAAAATTGCATAACACATTCATATGATTGTAAATTTCAAAAAAATTATTGTTTATATTTAGAATAAAAAACATGGAAATACTTTTTGTAAAATCTCATTATAAAAATATATTTTGAAATTCAGAGCTAAAAAATGCAAACAAACTCATAAGGAGGACTTTGTGAGAAAAAAATTTTGATTTACAATGTTTATGCATATATTTAATAATGTTGTTTTGTATGTATTTTCAAAGCAAGATATAACACACAGAGGCATATCGCACTCACGACACGTTTTGGTCTTCGACGAATACCTTTTTAAACGTTTATACCTTATTAAACGTTGTCGTTATCCTGAAGAATTTGCTTGAGAAGATAAGAGTAATCGCTTGAATTCTCGGCCTTGAATTGGCCATTCTTACTTGTTTCCCTTAGATTCCCGAAACTACGAAAACTCAGTAACCCAAGAAACCCTTATATGTATGATATTTTAGCGCGTAAACAGTTTGACGCCTAAAAATAGGCTTCCCGTCCTCTAAAGGTTAATTATACTAAAGCAATTTTATTGTGGCTTTCTAGTTAACAAAGTTCGATAAATATATTAGCTAATAAGGATATATCGCGAAAATGTAAAATTATTAAAAATTTATCTTTTTAATTATAATGATTCTATCGAGAAAGAACATAATTGGAATATAACTACGAATGAAATGATTGGAATATAACTACTATGAATTTAATATAATATTTAAATGCATAAAAATCAGTGTTATTATGTTGTCAATTTATCGCGAATATATATGGAGAAAATTTACAACTCTTAATTAGATTATGCTTACGACACACTTCCTCGCCGGGACAACATTGGTCCGGGGAATTCTTTCTATAACAATCTGGTTTTGTTGGTCCGTGGAAACAATCAACTACCGCACAATTAAACGAGGCGCTATATTGAAAGCAATAACGTAGTTTTAATAAGTGGAATTTAATAATTAAAATATTAAAAGAAGACAACAATCAAAAAATTGATGTGAAAGTCTTTACTTACATGCCATCATATCCTGGGGAGCAGGTGCAACCAATGTCACAAGGATTCGCATCTTCGTCTTTGAGTTTTTCTCCAACCGCATACTCTTTACCATTGACATAACACTTGGAAGTGGATCTATTTTTTAGATGATCACAGTTGTATTCGGTCGCGCAACAATCGCCCTTTTTCTCAAACACCGGAGTACAATTGAGAGCCTTGTAATACGCCAGTGGACCCGGGCATTTTGTTTTATCGCATTCCTCTTTACAAAAACAAAGAATTTAAAAACATTTTATGCGATATATTATTGACCGCGATAAAAATGGATGTTTACTAGGATAAGAGAATCGTTCTGAGTGCTTAGAGTTGCGT